GTTCTTGTAGTTAAAGTTAACGGTGGCTTTTCAGGCCATAGATCTTGGAGAAAAGCCAAGCAGGAATGGCTATGACTTACTTTGTAGTTTTTTTGGGAGTGGGGTTTATTTTGGGGGGGCTGGCAGTTGCGTCTAATCCTTCACCGTACTATGGGGTGGTGGGGTTGGTTCTGGCTTCTGTTGTGGGGTGTGGATGGTTATTGAGTTTGGGGGTTTCGTTTGTGTCGTTGGTGCTGTTTATGGTCTATTTGGGGGGGATGCTGGTGGTTTTTGTGTATTCTGTAGCCCTAGCGGCAGATCTCTTTCCAGAGACTTGGGGAGACTGGCGTGTTGTGGGGTATGGGGTAGGTTTTGTCTCGGTGCTGTGGGTGGGAGCAGTTGTAGGGGGGCTTGCTGAGGGTTGGAAGTTGGGGGTGGTGACTGTAGATAGTGGAGGGGTGTTTTCTGTTCGGTTGGATTTTAGTGGGGTGGCTATGTTTTATGCTGAGGGGGCGGGAATATTTTTGGTCGCGGGGTGGGGGCTGCTGTTGACCTTGTTTGTGGCGTTGGAGCTTGTGCGTGGGTTGTCGCGCGGGGCGATTCGGGCTGTTTAGGGGTGGGGTCAGAAAATAGTTTAATGTAAAAATGCCAGCTTTGGGAGCTGGAGATGGAGGTTTGAGTCCTCTTTTTCTGAGGGGAATTGTTGGGTATAACTCTAAGAAGAGGGGAAGTCTTCATTCTTTGGTTTACAAGACCAATGTTTTTTGTAAACTATTAGAGTGTTTTTAGTAGTTGAGTATTTTGTTCTCTAGGGCTCCGGTGAGGGGAAGGAGGATGAGGAGGATGGTAAAGTAGGTGATAGAGGCTAGTTGGCCGATGATGATGAAGGGGTGCTCTACGGGTTGGCTTCCAATTCATGTCAGGATAAGGAGGTTGGCAACTAGGGTTCAGAATAGGAGTTGTGATAGTGGACGGAAGGTTATTGTGCGCTGCTTAGATTTGTGGAGAAGCGGGCTTAGGAATAGGACTAGTACGGAGGCGGCTAGGGCTAGGACACCTCCCAGTTTATTGGGGATAGAGCGAAGGATGGCGTATGCAAATAGGAAGTATCATTCTGGTTTGATGTGGGGCGGGGTGACTAGTGGGTTTGCTGGGGTGAAGTTCTCTGGGTCTCCTAGTAGGTTGGGGGAGAATAGGGCGAGGGTTATTAGGGGGAGGAGTATGAGGATAAATCCTAGGATATCTTTTAGTGAGAAGTAAGGGTGAAATGGAATCTTATCGCAGTTTGATGGGATGCCTAGGGGATTGTTTGAGCCCGATTCATGGAGGAAGGTAAGGTGAATTAAGGTGAGGCCGGCAATTATAAAGGGAAGGAGGAAGTGTAGGGCGAAGAATCGGGTTAGGGTGGGGTTGTCCACTGAGAAGCCACCTCAGGCCCATTCTACAAGGGTTTGTCCGATGTAGGGGATGGCTGAGAATAGGTTAGTGATGACTGTGGCGCCTCAGAATGATATTTGTCCTCATGGTAGGACGTAGCCTACGAAGGCGGTTGCTATGAGTGTGAGTAGGAGAATAATCCCTGTGTTTCAGGTTTCTTTATAGAGGTAGGAGCCGTAGTAGAGTCCTCGTCCGATGTGGAGGTAGATACAGATGAAGAAGAATGAGGCTCCGTTTGCATGTAGGTTGCGGATTAGTCAGCCATACTGGACGTTTCGGCATGTGTGGGCGACGGATGAGAAGGCTAGGGTTGTGTCTGCGGTGTAGTGTATGGCGAGTAGAAGGCCGGTTAGGATCTGTGTTGCAAGGCAGATACCCAGGAGTGATCCGAAGTTTCATCAGGCTGAGATGTTTGAGGGGGTGGGGAGGTCAATTAGGGAGTTGTTGATTATTTTTAGTAGGGGATGGGATTTTCGGAGGTTGGGGGCCATTAGTTTTGAGTCTATACGTCGATAGAATGATGAGGATGGATAGGGCGAAGGATCCTAAGTAGGTTTTGATTAGTCCTGTGTGGATAGTGGTTGAGGTTTTGGAGGCTATAAGTTGTAGGTTTGCAAGTCCTTCGGGGCCTATTTTTTTGTACCAGGATAGGTCGATTAGGTGGGAGGCAATTTTTTGTCCGCTGTTTAAGAGCTTTGCGGTGTTAAGGCGGTGCATAAGGGGGTTGAAGTACCCTAGGGAGGTGGAGAAGTTTAGGTATGTGTTTTGTTTTGGTTGGGTTAAAGTGTGGGTTAGGCTAGAAAGTTCTATGGCTATGATGGCACCTAAGATTGTGATGATGATGGCTGTGGTTTTTGTGAGTGTGGGTATGGTTATTGGTGGGGTTTTTGTGGGGAGGATGTAGGATGTGATGAGTAGGCCGGCTAGGATGCTGCCTAGGGCAAGGCGAGTGATTGGGTTGGTAACTGCGGGGTTGTTTTCGTTTACTGGTGTAATTGTGGGTACGCGGGTAAATCCTGTTTGGACGAGGAAGGTTATGCGTAGGCTGTAGGTTGCGGTGAAGGATGTTGCAAGGAGTGTTAGGAGGAGTGCCCAGGTGTTTAGGTAGGAGGTGTTTAGGTTTTCGATGATAAGATCTTTTGAGTAAAATCCTGCTAGGAATGGGGTTCCTATCAGGGCAAGGTTGCCAATGGTTAGGCAGGATGTAGTTGTTGGGAGTATTTTTTGTAAGCTGCCTATTTTTCGGATGTCTTGTTCTCCGCCTAAGCTGTGGATAATTGATCCTGAGCAGAGGAATAGTATGGCTTTAAAGAAGGCATGGGTTGAAATATGAAGGAAGGCTAGTTGTGGGAGGTTTAGCCCGATTGTTACTATTATTAGTCCGAGTTGGCTGGATGTAGAGAAGGCAATGATTTTTTTGATGTCGTTTTGTGTGAGAGCACATGTGGCGGCGAATAGGGTGGATAGGGCCCCTAAGCATAGGCACAGGGTGAGGGCGGTCTGATTGTTTGTGAGTATGGGATGTATACGGATAAGCAGGAAAATTCCAGCTACTACTATGGTGCTGGAGTGGAGTAGGGCTGAGACTGGGGTTGGGCCTTCTATGGCAGCTGGGAGTCATGGGTGTAGTCCGAATTGGGCTGATTTTCCTGTAGCGGCGAGGATGAGGCCTAGTAGGGGGAGTGTTGGGGTTTGGGCTGAGGAGAAGGCTTGTTGTATTTCTCAGGTGTTTGTTGTTGAGGCAAGCCATGCTATGCTTAGGATGAGCCCGATGTCTCCGATACGGTTGTAAAGTACAGCTTGGAGTGCAGCTGTGTTGGCTTCTGCTCGGCCTTGTCATCAGCCAATTAGCAGGAATGATATGATCCCAACGCCTTCTCATCCGATGAATAGTAGGAATATGTTGTTGGCGGTGGTTAGTGTTAGTATGGCGATTAGGAATATTAGGAGGTAGAGGAAGAATTTTGTGGCGTGCGGTTCGGAGCTTATGTATCAGGTTGCGAATTGTAGGATTGACCATGTTACGAATAGTGCAATGGGGAAGAATGTTATGGAGTATTGGTCTATTTTAAAGCTAATAGGGATTTTAAAGTTCGTGAGGAACTTTCATTCTCAGTGGGAGATAATGCTATCTGTGCCTGAGTATACGAAGAGTGTTATTGGCACTAGGCTTGCTATGAAGGCGGTTTTGACAGTGCGGGTGATGGTGGTTGGGGAGTTTTGGAAGTTTTTTGATAGTAGTGGGAGTAGAGTGGGGGTGAGGATAATTGTCAGTGTGAGGAGTATGGAGGTGTTGAGGAGGAGTGCTATCTCCATTACTTTTACTTGGACTTGCACCAAGATGGGTGGTTCCTAAGACCAGTGGATTGCTCTTATCCTTTAAAAGTAAGGGGGCTGAGGTTTTAGACTCAGATACAAGAGTTAGCAGTTCTTGTTGGTTGAACCTCCCCTCGGCAGGTAAGAAGGGTTTAACTTCTATTTTTAGAATCACAGTCTAATGTTTGAGTTGAAACTATACTTGCATAAGGGGGCTCCAGAGATTAGCTCTGGCTTTAGGATGAGGAGTAGTAGGGGGAGGATATGTAAGGTCATTAGGAGGTGTTCTCGTGTGTTTGAGTTCTGGATGGATGTGATGTGGGTTGGGAGGGCCCCCCGTTGGGTTGTTAGTAGTATGAATAGGGTGTATGCGGCGGTTAATAGTGTTGCTGCTCCAGTTAGGATGATTGTGAAGGTTGATCAGTTGAATAGTGCAATTATGATAGTTAGTTCAGCTATTAGGTTTGTTGTGGGGGGTAGTGCTATGTTTGTGAGATTAGCTAGGAGCCATCAGGTTGCCATAAGTGGTAGGAGAGGTTGGAGGCCTCGGGTTAGTAGTAGGATTCGGCTATGGGTGCGCTCATAGTTTGTGTTAGCTAGGCAGAATAGTATTGAGGATGTTAGGCCATGGGAGATCATGAGGATTATTGCCCCTGAGAATGATCAGTGGGTTTGGATTATGCTTGCAGCGATGACTAGGCCTATGTGGCTTACAGAGGAGTAGGCGATAAGTGATTTTAAGTCGGTTTGGCGGAGGCAGATTGAGCTGGTTATTAGTGCCCCCCATAGGGACAGGGTTAGGAATGGGTAATGTAATTGGTTAGAGAGGGGGCCTATTAGAAGTGTAAGACGTATGATACCATATCCCCCTAGTTTGAGGAGGAGGGCGGCGAGTAATATGGACCCTGCGATTGGGGCTTCTACGTGGGCTTTTGGTAGTCATAGGTGGAGTCCGTATAGGGGGGCTTTCACCATGAATGCTATTAGTAGGGCTAAGCCGGATAGTGTACCTGTTCAGGTGTTGTTAAGTGTGGGGGGGATTAGTTTTAGTATTGTTAGATGTAGAGTGCCTGTTTGGGTGTGTAGGTGGAGGATGGTGATTAGCAGTGGAAGTGAGCTGATAAGGGTGTAGAATAGGAGGTAAATGCCTGCACTTAGACGTTCTGGTTGGTTTCCTCATCGTGTAATGAGAACTAAGGTAGGGATGAGGGTTGCTTCAAATGAAATGTAGAATAGTATTAGTTCTGTGGTCGAGAAAGCTAGGAGAATGAACGGTTGGATTGTGATGAGGGTTGCAATGAAGACTCGTTTCCGTGTTAAGGGTTCATGTTGTAGGTGGTTTTGGCTGGCTATAATTATGAGTGGGAGTAGTCAGCAGGATAGGACTAGCAGGGGGGATGAGATTTGATCGATGCTAGTTCATTGGGTTAGGTTTTTATAGGGGTAGTATGTTGGTTGTAGTCAATGTAGGCTGAGGGTGGCGATTAGAAGGCCATGTGTGGTGGTGTTGGCTCACAGGAGTTTTTTAGGGGATATTAGGGCTGTGGGGAGGAGTATGATTGTTGGGATGATGATTTTTAGCATTGTAGGAGATTCAGATTGTGTAGGTGGTCGGAGCCGTGGGTTCGGGTGGAGGCTACTAGTATTGCTAGGCCTGTACCTGCTTCGCAGGCTGAGAATGAGAGTATGAGCACGGGTATTAGGGCGGAGGATGTTGCTTGGTTTTCGATTGGTCAGATTGATAGAGCAATATATATGGATAGTATTATACTTTCCAGGCATAGTAGGGCGGAGATTAGGTGGGTTCGGTGGAATGCCAGGCCTAGGCCGCTTAGAGTGAAGGCTGAGTAGAAGCTCAGGTGGGAGAGTGACATAGAGAAAGTCGTAGGGTTGGACTACGGTCTGTTGAGTCGAAATCAACTGTCTTGGTTAGACTAACTTTCTGTCTATTCTGCTCATTCTAGGCCCCCTTGAATTCACTCATAGATTAGTCCTACTGTGAGTAGAATGATGATGATAGAGGCTCAGGTAAGGGTGGTGGTGGGCGATTGAAGTTGGATAGCTCAGGGAAGTGGGAGTAGAAGTGCGATCTCTAGGTCGAATAGTAAGAATAGGATTGCTACTGAGGAAGAAGCGAATTGAGAATGGGAGTCGGGCAGACCCGAGGGGGTCGAAGCCGCATTCGTATGGGGAGAGTTTTTCCGAGTCTGGGTTGGTTTGAGCAAGTCAGAAGTTTAGTGTGATTAGGATGATGGTAAGGGTGAAGGATAGTGTAAGTATAAATGTGATTATGTTGATTGCCCTTCTCTGGGTTTACACCAGATTTTAGAGATTGGAAGTCAATTGTAATGGATATACTAGAAAGGCAGGATCCTCATCAGTAAATAGTTATGTAGAGGAATAATCAGATAACGTCTACGAAGTGTCAGTATCAGGCTGCAGCTTCAAATCCGAAGTGGTGGTTAGATGTGAAGTGGAATTTAATTAGTCGTAAGAGGCAGACTGATAGGAAAGAGGATCCGATGATTACATGAAGTCCATGGAATCCTGTTGCGACAAAAAAGGTTGAGCCATAGACACCATCGGCAATTGAGAATGGTGCTTCGTAGTACTCTGTTGCTTGTAGAGCTGTAAAGTAGAATCCTAGCAAGATTGTTAAGGTGAGTGCATGGATTGCTTGTTTTCGGTTGCCTTCTGTGATGCTATGGTGTGCTCATGTTACAGTAACACCTGATGCTAGGAGAATGGCCGTGTTTAGTAGAGGTACTTCTAGGGGGTTGAGGGGTTTGATTCCGGTTGGGGGTCATTGTCCGCCTAGTTCTGGGGTGGGGACTAGGCTGGAGTGGAAGAATGCTCAGAAGAAGCCCAGGAAGAAGAATGCTTCGGATGTAATAAAAAGGATTATGCCGTATCGTAGGCCTTTTTGAACTGTAGGGGTATGATGACCCTGGAAGGTGCTCTCTCGTACGATGTCTCGTCATCATTGGAGTATAACTAGAATTATGGAGAATAGCCCTAGGGACAGGAGTTGTGAGGAGTTATGGTGGAATCATATGATTAGTCCTGAGGTGGTAAGTAGGGCGGCGATTGCTCCGAAGATCGGTCAAGGGCTTGGGTCTACTATGTGATAGGAGTGTGCTTGGTGGGCCATTAGATGTTTTCTTGTAAGTACAGGCTTAGTAGGAGGACGAAGACGTAAGCTTGGATTATGGCTACGGCTACCTCTAGGATTGTGAGTAGTAGCAGAATTGATGTAGTTAGGATAGATACTGTTGGTATGATGGGGAGGAGGGCGGTAGTGGCTGTAGAGATGAGTTGGATGAGCAGGTGACCTGCTGTGAGGTTTGCTGTGAGACGGACACCTAGTGCTAGTGGTCGGATGAGTAGGCTTGTGGTTTCGATCAGGATTAAGGCAGGGATTAGTAGTGTGGGGGTTCCTTCTGGTAGTAGGTGTCCTAGGGAGATTGAGGGCTGGTTTCGTAGGCCTGTGAGGAGAGTGGCTAGTCAAAGTGGAAAGGCTAGTGCTATGTTCATGGAGAGTTGGGTTGTGGGGGTGAAGGTGTATGGAAGTAGTCCTAGTAAGTTGATTGTGAGTAGTAGGACTATTAGTGATGTCAGGATTAGGGCTCATTTGTGCCCTGCTTTGTTTAGTGGGATTATTAGCTGTTTTGTAATTAGGTGGAAAAGTCATAGCTGGAGGGTAGAGAGGCGGTTAGTGACCCATCGGTTGCCTGGCATTGGGAGTAGTAGGGCAGGGAATAGTATTGAGAGTAGGATTAGGGGGATTCCTAGGAGGCATGGGCTTGTGAATTGATCAAAGAAGCTTAGGTTCATGGTCAGGCTCAGGGGGTTGTTTGGGAGGTTATTTGAGGTTTGTTGGAGGGGTGGTTAGTGGTGGTGAAGTGAAGTAATTTGGGTTGGATGATTAGTGAGAGGATCAGTCATGATATTAGTATGATGGGGAATCAAGGAGCGGGGTTGAGTTGTGGCATATCATTAAGGAGGGGGTGGGTGGTCCTCTTTCTCTAGCTTAAAAGGCTAGTGCTGTTACATAGCTTCTTAATGATTAGGATGATAGTAGTAGGGATCAGTTTTCGAAGTGGGCGAGAGGGGCGGATTCCACTACGATTGGTATGTAGCTATGGTTGGCCCCACAGATTTCTGAGCATTGGCCGTAGAATACTCCTGGTCGGGCGGCGATAAATGATGTTTGGTTTAATCGTCCTGGGATGGCATCAGTTTTAACTCCTAATGAGGGGACTGTTCATGAGTGTAGGACGTCGTCGGCAGTAATGATGATACGGATGGGGGACTCTATGGGGATGACAACACGGTGATCTACTTCTAGTAGTCGGAAGTGTCCTTGTGGGAGTTCTGTTGTGGGGATTATGTATGAATCGAATGTTAGATCTTTGAAGTCTGTGTATTCATACGATCAGTATCATTGATGCCCGATAGCTTTTAAGGTTAGGTCGGGTTCGTCGATTTCGTCTATCATGTAAAGGATTTGAAGAGATGGAAGGGCGAGTAGGATAAGGACGATGGCTGGTAAGATAGTTCAGATTAGTTCGATTTCTTGAGCATCGACGGTGTTTGAGGATAGTTTTTCTATTAGCATGAGGGCTAAGAGGTAGAGGACCAGGCTGCAGATTGCTAGGGCTACTATTAGGGCATGGTCGTGGAATTCTACGAGTTCTTCTATGATTGGGGATGAAGCGTCTTGGAATCCGAATTGTGAGTGGTTGGCCACGTGAGATGTACAGGACTTTCACTTGTGATTTAATCTTGACAAGATTATGTAATTGGTTTACTAACACCTCATAAGAAAGAAGCATAAGCGGTTTGATGCGGTTGGCTTGAAACCAGCATGTGAGGGTTCGACTCCTTCCTTTCTTGTACTTGGACAAAGGCTGGTTCTTCGAAGGTGTGGTATGGGGGCGGGCAGCCGTGGATCCATTCGATGTTGGTGGTGATTAATTCTGGTTGTAAGATTTTTCGCTTTGATGCGAAGGCTTCCCAGATGATGAATATTAGTATGATGACGGCTGTTATTGAGATTAGTGAGCCGATGGATGATATGGTGTTTCATAGAGTGTAGGCGTCTGGGTAGTCTGAGTATCGTCGGGGCATACCTGCTAGGCCTAGGAAGTGTTGAGGGAAGAAGGTTAGGTTTACACCTGTAAATATAACCCCAAAGTGGGCTTTGGCTCATGTGGGGTGTAGGGTGTATCCTGTAAATAGTGGAAATCAGTGGGTGAATCCTGCTAAGATGGCAAATACGGCCCCTATTGATAGAACATAATGGAAATGTGCCACTACATAGTATGTGTCGTGTAGTGCAATGTCTAGTGAGGAGTTTGCAAGAACAATCCCTGTTAGTCCGCCAATGGTGAATAGGAAGATAAAACCTAGAGCTCATAATATTGGAGGGTCTCATTTAATAGTTCCTCCGTGTAGTGTAGCCAGTCAGCTAAAGACTTTGATGCCTGTTGGGATGGCAATGATTATGGTGGCTGACGTGAAGTATGCTCGGGTGTCTACGTCTATTCCGACGGTGAATATGTGGTGGGCTCATACAATAAAGCCCAGGAATCCGATGGATAGTATTGCTCATACTATTCCTATGTAGCCAAATGGTTCTTTTTTGCCTGCATAGTATGTTACTACATGCGAGATGATTCCAAAGCCAGGCAGGATTAGGATGTAGACTTCTGGGTGGCCGAAGAATCAGAATAGGTGCTGATATAGGACGGGGTCCCCTCCTCCAGCAGGGTCGAAGAATGTGGTGTTTAGGTTCCGGTCTGTTAGTAACATAGTGATGCCGGCAGCGAGGACTGGTAGAGAGAGTAGTAGTAGGACAGCAGTGATTAAGACTGACCAGACAAATAAGGGTGTTTGATATTGTGAGAGGGCTGGGGGTTTTATGTTGATTGCAGTTGTGATAAAGTTGATTGCCCCCAGGATTGATGACACACCTGCCAGGTGGAGTGAAAAAATGGCTAGGTCAACTGAGGCTCCAGCGTGGGCGAGGTTGCCGGCGAGTGGGGGGTATACGGTTCATCCTGTGCCCGCTCCTGCTTCTACTGTAGAAGAGGCTAGGAGGAGTAGGAATGAGGGGGGCAGTAGTCAGAAACTTATGTTGTTTATGCGTGGGAATGCTATGTCGGGTGCGCCAATTATAAGTGGGACTAGTCAGTTGCCAAATCCACCGATCATGATTGGTATTACTATGAAGAAGATTATCACGAAGGCGTGGGCAGTGACGATTACATTATAGATTTGGTCGTCTCCTAAGAGGGTTCCTGGCTGGCCTAGTTCTGCACGGATAAGTAGGCTGAGTGCGGTTCCAACTATGCCTGCTCATGCACCGAAGATTAGGTATAGGGTGCCAATGTCTTTATGGTTGGTGGAGAATAGTCATCGGTTGATGAAGGTCACAGGTAAGATGGCCGAGTGTTAAGGCGTTAGGCTGTAGTCCTTTTTACAGGGGTTTAATTCCTCTTCTTATCGACTCTGTAGTGAAATTCATGTTGAGTTGCAAGCTCATTGATGTATACTAGTTGTGTACCGGAGTCTGGTAGATGGAGGCCAGTGTGGTTTAGGCATCTAGCTGTTAACTAGAATTTTGTGGGATCGAGGCCCACCTATCTAGACAAGGCCCTAGCTCAATTAAAGCACCTGGGTTGCATTCAGGAGATGTAGGTTAGCATCCTACGGGTCTTAGCAGAAACTAAGAGGGTCTAGCTCTTATTTAAGGCTTTGAAGGCCTTCGGTTTAGTGTTATCCTAAGTTTCTTAGATGGTGGTGAGGATTATGGGAGAGAGGGGAAGGAGTGAGATGGATAGTGAAGTAAGTACGGCAATTGAGGTTGTTGTTGGTTTGTCAATGTGCCATTGTTTTATGTGGTTTGTGGAGTTGGGTGGGAGTGTGATTGTTGAATAGTATGCAAGGCGGAGGTAGAAGAATAGCCCTAGTAGTGAGAGCATGGTAATGATTGTGGCTGCTGCGGTTATTTCTTGTTTGGTAAGTTCTTGGATAATAAGTCATTTAGGTAAGAAGCCAGTTAGCGGGGGGAGACCAGCTAGGGAGAGTAGGGTGAGCATGAGGGTCGCATTTAGTATAGGGGTTTTTGTTCAGGAGGTTATTAGTGTTGATAAGTTTAGGGTTTTTGTTGTGTTGAGGGTAAGGAATACGGTGGTGGTTATTAGGGAGTATAGATAGAAGGTTAGTAGTGTGAGTTTGGGGTTGTAGACGATGATGATGGCTATTCAGCCGAGGTGAGAAATTGATGAGAAGGCCAGAATTTTTCGGGTTTGTGTTTGGTTTAAGCCTATTCAACCCCCTAGGGCGGCTGAGGCGATAGCCATAGCGGTTAGTAGTGTTGGGTTGAGGGAGTGAGATGTCAGGAAGAGGATGGTGATTGGTGGGAATTTTATTACTGTTGATAGAAGGAGGGCTGTCGTTAGGGATGACCCTTGAAGGACCTCGGGGAATCAAAAGTGGAACGGCACTAATCCTAGTTTTATTGCGACTGCTGTGGTTAGTAGAAGAGAGGATGTTGGGTGACTTAGTTGGGTGATGTCTCATTGGCCTGTGAATCAGGCATTGGTTATGCTCGAGAAGAGGACTAGTGCTGAGGCAGCTGCTTGTACTAGGAAATATTTAATTGCGGCTTCGACGGCTCGTGGGTGGTGGGATTTTGAGATTAGTGGGATGATGGCGAGAGTGTTGATTTCTAATCCGGTTCATGCTATTATTCAGTGGTTGCTTGAGATAGTAATAGTGGTCCCTAACATTAGGCTAAGAGTAGATATTAGCTTTGCATGGGGGTTCATTAGTAGGGGAAGGAGTTAAACCATCATTTTCGGGGTATGGGCCCGATAGCTTTGTTAGCTGACCTTACTAGGAAATAATATAAAGGAAGTATGGAGAGTTTTGATCTCTTTTGTGTAGGTTCGATTCCTACTTTTCTAAGTGTTTCTTAGGAAATGAGAGGGCTGGTATACCTCTATGTTCACTTTATCATAGTGACCCTTTACGTTCAGGCACATTTCCTTAGGTAAGGAGGTAGGCCTGCGTAGCAGATTGGCATGCTAGTATGTCAAAGGCATAGTGCTAGTGTCAGGGGTAGAAAGTTTTTTCAGAGTAGGTGCATGAGTTGATCATAGCGGAATCGTGGGTAGGAGGCGCGGATTCATAGGAAGCCCGAGGAGAGGAGTAAGATTTTTGTAGCTAGGACTATTGGAAATAGTTCTGGGGTAAGGTTTAGTGAACTTGGGCTTAAGAATAAGATGACAGTTAGTGTATTTATCAGTATGATGTTTGCGTATTCAGCTAGGAAAAATAAGGCGAATGGTCCTGCGGCGTATTCTACGTTGAAGCCTGAAACTAGTTCAGATTCTCCTTCTGTGAGGTCAAAGGGGGCTCGGTTTGTCTCAGCGAGCGTGGAGATATACCACATTATTGCAAGAGGCCAGGAAGAAAAGATAAGGTATAGTGGTTCTTGGGTAATGGCGAGGGTGTTTAGGGTGTAGTTGCCGCTTAGTATGATCACAGATAGGAGGATAATGGCTAATGTTACTTCATAGGAGATGGTTTGTGCTACTGCTCGTAGGGCACCGATTAAAGCGTATTTTGAATTTGAGGCCCATCCTGATCATAAGATTGAGTAGACTGCCAGGCTCGATATAGCGAGAAGGAACAGTAGGCCTAGGTTTAAGTCAGCAAGGGAGAAAGGGAGGGGGAGTGGAATTCAGATTGTGAGTGCTAGTAATAGGGCTAGTATTGGTGTTAAAAGGAATAAGAGTGGGGAGGAGGTGGAGGGGCGAATTGGTTCTTTGATGAAGAGTTTTACTCCGTCTGCTACAGGCTGTAGTAGGCCGAATGGGCCAACAATGTTGGGGCCTTTTCGGGCTTGTATATAACTTAGGACTTTTCGCTCAACTAAGGTTAGGAAGGCAACAGCAATTAGAATTGGAATGGCATAGGAAAGTGACATGGTAAGGTATATCAGGGTGGGGGATCATGTCATTGGGTAATTGGGGGCTAGGGAGAGGATTTGAACCTCTGGGTAAAGGGTTTAAGCCTTTTGCATTTAGCCAAGCTCTGCCACACTAGCGGTCCTTTTCTAGGATTTGGGTTGTTGTGGGGGCCCTTTTGGTAATTTAGTTGTATGCATTACTTAAAGGGGAGGCATGCTTGTGGTATTGGCCTCACCTTCTCGGTCCTTTCGTACTAGGGAAGGTATGTCATAGATAGAAACCGACCTGGATTGCTCCGGTCTGAACTCAGATCACGTAGGACTATTAATCGTTGAACAAACGAACCCTTAATAGCGGCTGCACCATTAGGGTGTCCTGATCCAACATCGAGGTCGTAAACCTCCTTGTCGATATGGGCTCTTGAAGGAGATTGCGCTGTTATCCCTGGGGTAGCTTGGTCCATTGATCAATTATATTGGGTCTGGTTACTATTAGTACGTTGAGGGGTGGCTCTTAGTTAAGATGGGTGGTCTTATTTTTGGAGGATTTGTTTTTCTCCAAGGTCGCCCCAACCGAAAAATACGGGCCAATGTTTGTGAAGATGGTGAGCCTGGTAGGTTTGGTATTGTGTGCGGTGGCCGTTGATTTTTAAGTTCCACAGGGTCTTCTCGTCTTATGTACATATCCCTGCTTTTGCACAGGAAGATCAATTTCACTGATTGTCTGTAAGAGACAGTTAGGACCTCGTTTAGCCATTCATACAAGTCTCGATTTATGAGACAATTGATTGCGCTACCTTCGCACGGTTAGGATACCGCGGCCGTTAAACTATGTCACCGGGCAGGCATCACCTTCAATACTTGGATGGCTGAAGGCTATGTTTTTGGTAAACAGTCGGGCCCTGGGTTTGCCTAGTTCCTTTTACAGATTTTAATCTTTCTAGCGGGCGCTCCTGAGTTGGGTTAACAGGTGTTATCTAATACTTGGCCTTGTTGGAGTTGCAATATTAGCGAGGTCTGTTAATAATGTGATGTATTTAAGCTTGCGCTTAAGAGGGTAGGCCCCTAGTTACTTATTTTAGCAGAATTTCTCCTATTATCATAGGTTGGCCTGTTAGGGATAAGGGAGTCATGTTGTTTTTGGATTTTTAGGTATAGAGCTTTGACGCACTCTTTGTTGGTGGCTGCTTGAAGGCCCACGGACGTTGGGGAGTGGTGGTACTTATCCGCTAGGGGAGGTTGTGTTCTTTTTTAAAGGAGCTGTACCTCCTTTAAATTACTCTTAATCTGCTACATATAGGTTGGGGTAAATATCCGTGGAGGGCAATTAAGGGGGTAACTTAGATTCATTTCACAGGCAACCAGCTATCACCTAGCTCGATTGGCTTTTCACCTCTACTAACGAGTCATCCCACTCTTTTGCAACAGAGACGGGTTCGCTCAGATATAGCTGCTCGTAAGTAGCTCGCTTAGGTTTCGGGGGGGCAAGCTTAAATTCGTTTTGCTTGGTTGTTCTTGCTAAACCATGATGCAAGAGGTACAAGGGTTTATCTTTGCTGCTCGTTGCTTTGATTTTTCATTGCTATTTCATCTTTCCCTTACGGTACCAAAATCTCTATCGCGCCAATGCGGGGTTTCTTTTCTATCGCCTATACTAAGTTAGAAAAATGTTTTAGTTTTGGGGTGTAGTGTATTTTTGATGGTTCACTGATTTTATGGGCGGTTGGGCTAGACTGAGGCTTCAAGACGATCTGGTCGATAGCAGATATCTTTCAGGTGTAAGCTGAATGCTTTGTATTGTAGCTACGTCTTGGTATGCTAAGTGCACCTTCCGGTACACTTACCTTGTTACGACTTACCTCATCTTCGGCTGATTGGCGTATTAGTTATGTAAGTTCATAGCTTGTGAGGAGGGTGACGGGCGGTATGTACGTGCCCTAGGGCCGGCTTAAAGAGAGCTCTATTATCTCTCTTTACTGCTAAATCCACCTTCTGCAGACGATTTCACGTCCGCTTCCGTGAAGTTTTCTATGTTAGAAAATGTAGCCCATTTCTTCCACCTCATGGGCTATACCTTGACCTGTCTTGTTAGCGATGTTGGGGCTGTTGTGTCCACTGCTAAACTCTCAGGGGAGGTGGACTGGCGACGGCGGTATGTAGGCTGCTCTGGCAAGAGGTGGTTGGGTATATCGTGGGTTATCGGTTGTAGAACAGGCTCCTCTAGGTGGGTTTAGGGCACCGCCAAGTCCTTAGAGTTTCAAGCGTTTGTGCTCGTAGTTCTCAGGCGGATATCTTAGTGGTAGGAGATATCAAGATTTAGGGCTAGGCATAGTGGGGTATCTAATCCCAGTTTGTGCCCTAGCTTTCGTGGTGGGCAATTGATCCTTGAAGGCTAAGACCGTCTTTAGGGTGGTCTTAAGTGCATCCTAGGCTTATGACAGCTCAGTTGCATTTTGATCTTAGTTCTATCAGGATAACATGATACCACTCTTTACGCCGTGCTACTGTTAATTTGGGTCTCTTGTGTGACCGCGGTGGCTGGCACAAGATTTACCAACCCTAGGTGTTGCTATGACTAAGTCAAGTTTACACTTATTGCTTAATGTTAATTACTGCTGAATACCCGTGGGGGTGTGGCTAAGCAAGGTGTCTTGGGCTACAATCTAGGGGGTGTGCCTGATACCCGCTCCTCGCACCTTGTCAAGGTGTTGAGGGCATTCACACTGGAGCGCGGATACTTGCATGTATATGTCTAGCAAAAATTAACGGTAAGGTTAGGACTAAGTCTTTTGTCCTTGGGTGCGAGAATGCAGCGTCTTAGCATCTTCAGTGCCATGCTTTGGTTGTAAGCTACAAGGACTTTGTTGTTTGTTTGTTGTTTGTTTGTTGTTTGTTTGTTGTTTGTTTGTTGTTTGTTTGTTGTTTGTTTGTTGTTTGTTTGTTGTTTGTTTGTTGTTTGTTACATTGTAGGAAATTTTATTCAGTAGTTTAGGGGGTGTTTGTGCGCGCGTATGTGACAAACGTGTGTGTTTGTTTTATTAATGTAATTTCAGCGGTGATGATGAGTGATAAATGCGTGAAAAAATGTCAAAAAAATTCATGACGATGAACAGCAAATATTTGGTTGAAAATTACTAGTGTTGTTTAGAAAGTTAGAGGAAGTGTAAAAGTAGAAAAATATGTCTTACAAGCATTCACTAAATAGCAACATATAGTAGGGTTAGTGGATACACCATAACCAAATGGAAAGCAAAGTGCATCAGTGCCAAAATGATTCCCCATATACGCACACCGTCTCATTAATTAATTCCTGAGGACCAACGCCAGACCGATGGGCAGGGAATGCTCACGTCCACCACTTGAAAAGACCCCGTTGCACTTGGAAGTGTAGAGTGAAGACGCCCAGAAAAAAAAGGGAACCAAAAGTGCTAAACTCTTTGGATGCCGCGATTACGAGAGACAATGTTGATATATAGCCAACCAGATGTATCGGTGAAGAGCAAGAAGAAGGGATTAACCAAGCTATGGCCCTGATATAGGAACCAGAGGCGCAAAAGAGCAAGTTGGGCTAGGGGTGTAGGGGGAAAGTATGGTCCTGAAGCTAGTAACGCAGTATCTTATATGCGGCGGGTTGCTGATTTCACGTGAGAAGCCCGACTAATAGATAACCTTGTTCTTCAGAAACCGGTCCGGCAGGAGATTGCGAAGATTGTATGTCGAACAAGCATTCAGACAATGCCGTGGAGCATATCCGTATCCAGGAAATTCTATTCAGTACAGAAGTGACAGAAGTCATGGATTTAGTCCGATGACAAGTAAGACTTGGTCCTTGAAACATTAATGATTTCCAGTCCTTCAGAAGCAAAACGGGGGAAAGGAGAGAGCTTGCCACTTTACGTAGGATATTCTTAGTACATGCATTGAATGTATTTCTAGCATTAGGGTAATGTAATGGGGCATGTAGTTTAATGTACTCCGTACATGAGTGCGGGGGGGGGTAAGGGTCATTATTTTTGGCGG